TAAATTAATTTTAAAAAAAAAAAAACTGAAAAAAAAAAAACCCAGGGGAAAGGAAATTTTTTTAAAAAAAAAAAAAAAAAAAAAAAAAAAGATTGTTTGAAAAAAAATGAGAGAGAAGAATTCCATGATCATTGAACAGTAAAGAATGGACAATCAAACGAATCAATAATATTGATGATATTTACCTAAATTCTACAAATATTGTCAAAATAAAAAAAAATTCAGAAAAAATCCCGACAATCATAATCATAAAGGATCATTTATTCAAACGGTAAAAAAACGATAAAATTTTAAAATCTAAAATGTAAATATTGTTACTTCCAAAACATTATCATAAAAGCTTATCATTTTTATTATTATTATCATCATCATCATTTGAATTGATTGATTCAACGAAATAAATCTGATTATTCATGGCAAGAATTTTCAATGTCATCCAAATTATCAATTGGCTGCAAACATTTGATGAATAAACTTAAATTCGGACAATTTATAATGACTATGATTATCAGACATCCGAAAATCAATTGCATTCTTTTTGTTTGTTTGGTATTATGAACGCATCAATGCATTATGATTATTTATTAATAGATGATTCTGGATCATATGAATTCGAAGCTCATCATCATCATCATCATCGAGAATTGAACCGGAACAGATTCCAAATACTACCTGAATTGTACAAAACAAAAAACAACGACAACAACAGCAACAACAAATGTTAATTATTCAGACCATTATTGTTTTTTCCTTACAATAATTCTTATTTTGAAAGAATTTACCCTTGTTTATTAATATCATTATGTTATTCATTTTTTGTTTCGAATCAACTATGAAAAAGAAGAAATCAACAAAAACAATGACAACAACAACAACAAAAATTATATCAAGCAGAATAATTCCCAACTAAATGAATGAATGAAAAAATGAATTAGTACAGTAAAATCCAAATGTTTTCCAAATGATAATGTTCTATGACTACTATGATCTCCAAGAGCTTTGCATACCTGAATGGACAAGTTTTGTTTTTCCTATAGTCAGAAAAAACACACACACACACATTGAATAAATAAATGCAAATAGAATTAAAAGTTCCTGGAAATGAATAAAAGTTTTTTTATGACTATCCTGTCAAATTCTCTCAGTCATATATATGCCAATAAAATTATTCTTAACAACAAAAAAAAAACATAGGAAAAAAACATCAATTCGTTTTGCTCATATTTAATTAATAAAAGACTAAATCAGATAGTTTTTTTTTCACCCAAGAAATATATCAAACAAACGAAATGATAACATGGGAAAAAAAAGATGTTAAGTGACAAAAAAATATTGTCGCTGAACTAGCCAACGGTATATAATTCTACCTAGCAAGAAATGGAAAAACAAAACAAAACATACAAAAACAGAATTGTACATGACAACTTACATGATGATCTTATTCATTGATCATCATAATAAAAATGATGTTGGTGAACGATTAATCGCTTGCTGGTTAAATATATTGATTTTGGGAAATTTCAAAAAAAAAAACATTTCTCATTATTTTGGTTGTTTATTGTCATTGATAATTGGTAATAATGAAAATTTATTGAACATAAACCGAAGGTCAACATAAATATAAATCAAAAATTTTTTGTTATTTATTCTTCATAATCATTTCATTGTGTTTTTTTTATTATTATCAAATCGTGATCACGGGCAAATAAAAACATTAAAGAATTGTCTTTTTTTTTGGTAAGCAATAAGATTTCTTTCTGCCCTTGATCATGATTTATTACATTATATCAAAAATGATTATTTGTCTGTTTGTAAAGGAAATTAAAAATGAGCAACAAACAAAAAAAAATCGATTGTGAATAACGAAATAATCGATAAAATCGATAGGTAAATAGAATTACAGCTTCCTTTCTTCTTACATCATATAAACAAGAAAAAAAATTTCGATTAAATTCAATCGATTTATGTTTTCAATTCTTATTCAGACAAAAAAAATTTCCCATTTGATAATGATCATTTTAGAAGAATTGCTAATTGATATGATAACCGTGTGTGGAAAATCGGTGAAATAAACTTGAAAAGACCGTGATCAATTGCGCCTAAGCACACAACCAAAAATCGATCGAAACAAAAACAAAAACCAAAAAAAAGTTGCAAGTTTTGCACAAAAAATCAAGCAATAATGAAATACTCAAGAATCTCATGTGTATACATCATACATTTCATAATTTTTATGTGTGTGTGTGTTTGTGCAATAAAAACAATAACGAAGAAGAAAAGAAAAAAAGCAAGATAAACATGTAAGGGAAAAAAGAAAAAGAAAAACAAATCAAATGGGAAATGAAATGGAATCGATTGTATGCACTACTCACACACACACACACACAGGAATCACTAAGAGAATAGTGAAAATCTGTCAAAGTTCCAATTGGAACAAAAACAGAAACCGAAAAAAAATGATAATAATAATGATGATGATTTTCGGTAAAGAATAACAAAAACAAAGCAAAAATGATGATGATGATGATGATTACAATCAAGACAAAAATTTTCAACGATTATCACATATAATCAATGATAATGATAATGATTATTGTAGTAATATTTTGAATTTGAATGAAAAAAAAATCATGTGATGATTCATTCGGTTGATATTCTCTATATATGTCTCTATATGGCGCGTGCATTACTTGATTGAATAATTTTAGAATCAAAAAATTCTTTGATTAAAACATAATGATGATATCATCATTATTATTATGGAAATGAATTTCTATTTCTATGGAAAATAATAATATAAAATTTGAGATTATTTTGAATGATGATGAATATGAAAAGAAGATGAAAATGAGCGGGAAAATAATAATAATAATAACATTAAATAATATGAAAAAGATTAATATGAAAATTCATACCTGTGCTAATTCATCAAAACGACCAAATAAATCGTTCAATGTTCGTACCAATTCTGAAGCAGATAATTGTTCGGATAATGGAGTAAAATTAACAATATCAGCATATAATAGGCTTTATTGATTCATTTATGAATTTTGTTTGTTTTTTTTGGTTGAGTTGTTGTTTTGTTTTGTTTTAATGATATTTTTGCACCAATGAATACAGGATAATTTATGATAATGAATGATGATTGGAAAAAAAACAAAATTCCAAATAAAAAGGGATCAAAGGGAGAAACAAAATATCATCGAAAAAAGAATTTTGGAAAAATAACAGAATTAGAATAAATGTTATGTTAAATAATTCATAATCAATTCAAACATACCTAACATTATTATGACGTTGTACATAAAGTTCATGAAAACGTTGTTTTTGTGGTGTTTTCGGTAATAGATCACCTGGACCGGTTAATCTATGTTGTTGATTAGCCAATGATATTGATGATTGATTTGATTGAATATTTGTTGTTGATGAATCATGACGATTTTTTCCCGAAACAACATTATTCATTTGATTAAAATTTGTTTTAATACTTGCAACACTATTAGTTGGTATAATTGATTTTGATGATTTTTGATTTGAATTAATATTATTATTATTATTTGTATTATTGTTTGTATTATTATTTTGTTGTTGTTTTTCCATTTCAGCACGTGCACCTTTACGATCAACATCCATTTTATCCATTATACGACGTTTAACTTCAGCTGCAATATATGCCGGTATAACTGATAATAATAATTGTTCTTGTTGTTCACGTTCAAATTCCAATAAAATTCTATCATCAATAATTTTCTGTGCACCAGCAAATGTATCAACATTTTCCTGTTCCATTCGTCTTCGTGAATCAGTTGTATAGGCAATAAATGCTAATATTATTAATAAATCAGTTAAAATTTTCTTAACAATATATTCATTAAATCCATGTGAATCATTCATTGATTGTTGTTGTTGTTGTTGCCATGATGATGATAACAATGTTTCATTATTGTTTATTGTCATACGTTGTTGTTGTTGAATAATAATCATTCGTAATCGATCATCATTAAATACGGTAATTATTTGTATAATTTCCATACAAATATAGAAAATAAAACAAATAAATTGTATGGCCATATTGATATAAGGATTAAATGGTAATACTGATTGTATGTAAATAATGGAAAACACTGTAATCAATAGGTCAATATCCATTGATTCAATATGAAAATGATGTGAACGGCTCCAATAATCTTCATGATAAAATATATCAGATAAAATACGATGTACAAGAAATGTACACCATAACCAGAATAGAATAAATATTGTAGCCAAAATATATTGTCGATATGTTGTTGGTGATACATTATTATCATTTTTGGCAGACGATGATGATGTAGATTTATCATTATTATTTTTATTATTATTACCATTGATTATTGTTTTTGTTTTTGTATTAGTGGCTGTCATTGTAGCTGTTAAAGTTGATGAATTTGGTAGAAAAAAATTTGTTCGCGAATATTTAACATCACAAAAATGACTAGTCAATGTACAGATCACTAATGGACATAATAATGATGATGATATGATTGTCATTATTGTTGTTATTATCAATATTATAACATCAATTGTTAATGATGATGTATCATTATCACCGGAATCAGTAGTAATAGTAGTGGAAGAAGAAGAAGAAGTAGAAATAGTTGAAAAAATTGATGAAACATTTAATGTATCCATCATAATTGTCTGTTGATTATTATCATTATTATTATATAATGGTGAAAATAATGATGAATCAATAGACATTATTATTGAATAATAAAATAATGCAAATACATTCGTTGCAAATGTCATTAGGCCTAATATCTGTATCTTTCTACGTATCGTATAACGACGATTGAGCAATTCAAGATCAAGTATATCACTACATGAAACTGATGATGGTCCACCATAATCTTCGGAACGTTTTTTCTTCATTTGTTGTTGATTACTATTCAAACCAAATTGTGGAATACCCATCATGGCAGAAAATTTTGATTTACGACGATTTGATTGTGTTTGTGAATGTTTCGGAACAATAATAGTTGTTGTTTTTGCTGCTGCTGATGTTTTTGTTGATTGTGTTGTTGGATCAACAGGCATCTTAATCAATGTTGTTGTTGTTGCTGTTGGTGATTGATCCGGCAACGATGATGATGATGATGATGTTTTCATTCCATTTTTATTTTGATTTTTCATATCATCAGCTTTGATAATGACAATTTTAAAATTTTTTCCACCATCACCACCATCATCATCATTATCATTATTATTGATTTCGATTCCATTTTGTTTTTTCAAAAACGGTTCATTCGATTCATCATCAGCATCCGCATCATCATCATCATTAACAAAATGATGATGATGATGATCATGATCATTAATATTCTTATTCATTGTTGGTAAGGAAGATTTTCGATTCATATGATCATTATCATCACAATTATCATTAGTTGTTGTTTTATTAATTAATAAACTATATTGTTGATTTGAATTTAGTAAATTTAAATCAATATTATTATCATTATCATTATTATTATTATTATTATTATTGTGGTTGTTATTATTATTTTGTTGCAAAATTGTTGTTGTATTAGCTGTTGTTGTCGTTGATGATGGCAATGGTTGTGAAGATGTTTGATCGATATATAGGCCATGATTTCCGTTTCTGTTGTTGTTGTTGTTTTGATTGTTGTGGCCAATAATAACGTCCGAATTTTGTTGATTGTTGTATTGTTCGGACGTCATCATTATCGTCAATATAGATTATGTTCATTGAAAAAAATAAATAATGTTATTGTTGTGGTTGTTGTTGTTGTTTTGTTTCTGGATTTAGAGAACGATATTTAGTCCAGTTTTTGTTGTTGTTGTTGTTGTTGTTGATAAGTTGAAACAAATTATTTAGCGAAATATAGAATGGAAAAAGTAGCCAAGATTGAAGAATGAAAAATTTTCACAATTCTTTTTTGAAAAAAAAAATGAAAAATGGTTTCTCTGTGTTGTTTTTTTTACACCATACGAAAAGGTCGACCAAAAAATAAATTACGGTAATCCTTGGTATAGAACACGTAAATAATAAAAACAGATCCAACCAAAAAAAAACAAAAACAAAACAAAACAGCGTGCTTTTTCACCAATTATTTTATGAAATAAATTTTGTTTTTTTTTGTTTTCAATTCTTGCTGTGCGATGAATTTTGTTTCTGGAATATAACGACGGCCAAATGAGAATGTCTGGTGAACAGAAAAAAAAATGAGAAAAATTATTAGTTAGATGTCAAATTGAATTTTTTTTCAAATAAAAATAAAAAAAAATAAAATAAAACATAGTTCCTGTTGAGTGTTCCAAAAGATATATGTAGTTTTTTTTTGTTGTTATTAATGAAAGAAAGTTTTTTTTTCGAAAAACTTTTCACTGTTTTGTTTTTATGAATTTCATAAGTCATTAATAATAATCATTGTTTTTTTTTATGAATAACAACAATAATAATTTTTTTGTTTAAAAGTTTTGTAATTTTTTTTTTTTTATTCACATTTTCTAATTAATCGATTCAATTTATTATTTGGTTGGAAGGTGTAGTGAAAAGTGATGGACAATCATATCGATCATATCATTCGATGTAATCGATTGTTGATGGATATTTATTCGAATTTTTTATGTTCGAATTCTTATGAATCATCCGGAATCAATAAAAATTTATCATTTTTTGCGTTTTGTTTTTTTTTTGCATTTTACTTCGTTTCATTACGAATCAATAAATATTACCAGAACAACATGATAAAAATCAAATAAAATTGTCGTTTCGGGCTGATCACGATCACAGGAATTCCAGTGAAATGTAAACCCAAAAATAACCAAGAAAAGAAATCAATTTTGGAATTTGAATCGTGAATAAATATTCATAAAGTGGTGTATTGTCAAATATAGACTATTTTTTTCAATATTTCTTTGGAACTAGAAAAAAAAGAAACTTAATTTTTTTTGAGTTCATTTTTTTCCTGATGATGATGGTATGAATTCCATGTAAATTTACCGGATCGATCGATCCATCGTCATAACACACACACGCAATTTTAGCATTCAATGTAATAAGATCAAATTTCTCAATCAAATTAATCGATTTGGATTGTCGACCTGAAATGTCAATCCAATTTCATATTTTTTTTCATAAATATTAGCTAATCGTAAAACGGAAATTCATGTTTTCTAAACGGGAAAACAGGAAAACAAATTTCCATTTTCACCATCATCATTATAATCACATTATTCATGACTATTTTGAAGAGAAAAAAAACGAGAAACAAAAAATGTAAAAAAAAGTAATTTAAGTCATTTTATTTTTTGGGTTAAAAATTTCTTGATATTTTAATTTGTTTTTAGATTAGCATCTAAAAAACAAATTTCCAAGAATATATTTGAGCAATATTTTGAACATTTACATAAGAATCACTGCATTAAACATTCGAAACATTATCATTCGAAACTATTTCGACAACGACAACAATACATTTGTCTTCATTGTTTCGTCGGATTGCATTTCAAGAATTTTTTTTTTGTTTGTTTTTGAAAAAAATTATTATTATTATTCATTTAAAATTTATTCGAGTTGTCGTTTTGTTGTTGTTGTTGTTTCGTTTGTTGTTTTGTTTGTTGAATAATGAAAAAAAATGGGGAACAACAACAACAAAAAAAAAAATCATAAAAAACATTGAAAATACTTTAATGATGATAAATGAATAAGAATGTAGTAGTGGTTGTTGTGGTGGTTGTAGTAGTAGTGGTTGAAAACTGTAAACAAACAGAATTTCTTTTTCAAAAAATAAAAAGTTTACCGAATTTGAAAATCAAAACTTTGACCATAACAACAACAACAACAACAACAACAACATTATTGTTTTATATTGACATTTACATACGGACAAAAGAATCAGAGAGGAAAAAAAAGTGTAAAAAAAGAATTGAAAATTTCAGTTACGTTGTTTGGCGGTTATTATTCATCAAATTGTGTAATTTTACATCATCATTATTTTTCCCCCTTTTCTACTTTAGGTTTTTTTTTGGGGGGAGAGGAAGACAAACAAAACAACAATATTCTCCCCCTAAATGATAAATGATATGGATAAAATGACAAACCAGAAAAAAAAACACTGAATGAAAAATGGGAAGACAGTGAAACACATTTTCTATTTCGACTGAAATGAATGTTTGAGTGTTTTTTTGTTTTTGTGTGTTCGAATTTTTTTTTCTCATTGAAATCATCAATATTCAAAACAAAAAACTAAAAAAAAATGTGACAAAGTTTTTAGAGTTTTTTAAAACTTTTTATTATTAGTAAAATGACAAAAGAAAATTACATCATCAATATGTGTTTATGTGTGTGTGTGTGTGTATTGAACAAAATGATATGATCAATTCCTTTGAGTATAATAAAAAATGAACACAAAAAAAATCATTCATTTTTTTCATTTTGAAAATAATAAATTGAAATTGAACAGAATTAAATATCACCAATTGATGGCTATTACATAAAATGTAATAGCAAGTAAATTTCGTTTTTTTATTGATATATAAAAATAACCTAAATAATAAAATTTTTAAAACTACCATTTTTATGTCTGATAGTTTTATGCTTATTCGATCCACTCACCAAAATCAATTTCGAATAAGTTAATAGTGATCGACAAACAACAGTTGAAATGTTGAAGAATTCTAAAAAAAAGATGAATAATTTGTCAATTTGTCAAAAAAAAAAAGATTGTTAAAACCATCAACTTTGAAACCAAAAAAGAAAACAATCGAAAACTATCGAGAATCAAAACAAAGAATATCATATATTCGTTCATCACTTTCGAATGTTTTTTTTTTCGATTTGGGCTGGATTTTTTTTTTGGCTCACATTTGATCCTAAAGTTGAAATTTTTTTTCATTTTGAAATGAAAAAACATTGCTTTTATCAGATCAAAAATGAAAATTATAGGATTTTGTTTGAAATTCGTTTTGTTTTCATTGAATTATTCATCAGATGATGACCAGAAACAGTACCAAAAAAAAAACGAAAACAAAAAAAATTGACATAAATGACAATTCAGCATTTTGAGAAATTTTTCACTCTCAACACACACATATTTTTCAACAAATGATAAGTTTTATCAACAACAACAACAACAACAAAGAAATTCGCAGGCCCAAAATATTGTTTCTGAACCAGAAAACAAAAACAAAAAACAAACTTGTGACTTTGTTAAAAAGAGTTTCCATTTGCGAAACACACACACACACATTATTCAGATAGGAGGATTATTATTATTATTATTATTTCACATTTCATTTTTTTTGTTGGATAATTCAACAAAAAAAAAAGAAAGAATGCATTCTCCTTCCCTCATCAACTGAAATAATAATTCTCTTATCACATTATTTTCCTATTGTATAATTAATGAATTTTCCATTTCTATCCACATTATCGTTCCATTAAAAAAACAACAACAAATTCCAAGAACCCAATTTTTTTAAACAAATTGCGTCAAACATTGCTAAAAAAGAGAATCTTTTTAACGTAATCCGCAAAAAAAAATTATCACTTTATTAACACTTTATATACGGAATCGATACAGAAATTATAGAAGAAGAAGAAGAAGAGAAAAAAACGATTCGATCTGGCAACCAAAACAAACGAATATAAAAATTGTAAATCAAGGTAGATGATATCATCATCATCAATCAATTTAGAATCAATCATGAAAATCAATCAAAAAAAAATCTTTATAGGAAAAAGAAGAAAAAAAAACACGAGTTGTATGAATGTTTGTTTGTTTGTTTGTTTTGTTTTTTGAGTAAGTACACATCCATCTATCATTCGGGTGCAAATAGAAAACGTAAAAAATGATGTTCCATCAGAAAGAAAAACTATATGCATGTTCATTTGGTAAATTTCAATGTGTTTTTTTTCCTGAGAAAAGAAAAAAATTTTCAAAATTCATAAATTAGCCATAAAAAAACACATTTATCATCATTATCATCTTGTGGATCAATGTATGGTGTGTAGGTTTTCATTATTTTTGTTTTGTTTTATCGATGTTTTCGCACATGATAAAAATCACGTATTTGTTACGTTTTTTAACGTATTTTTTCTTCTTAAAAAAAAAAATTTAAAATTCAAAGAAAATCTGTCTTTTTGCCGAAAAAAATCGATTCGATTCGGTTTCATTGTGCGATTTTACG